CAGCATCCCTTTTCAGCAGGAAGTAGCTAAGAGAATACGCCATCCCCTTTTCCTTATGAATTAGGGTGAAGTCTCTCTCAGGGAGGAGTGATAGGGAATGACAAAGGGCACACTGACAAAGGAGATTAATAAGAACTGGCTTTGACAAGCACTGTGGCAATTGGACAATTAAAAGAGCCATTCGGGGGCAGGGGGGGAGAAGAACGAACTGGGGAGGAGGGTAGAGAGAACAGTGCAACAATGAATGAATGAGAACCCAAAATCTCTGGAAATGTTCATTAAAACTAATAAAATTTAATAATTAAAAAAACATTCCATAAAAAATATGTTCAATGCTTCAACTTAAAGACAGCAGAGTCAAGCATATTAATCACTTGAAATAGATTAAAGCACTATTATCTTCATTATAAAAATAAGGCAATGCAGCTAAATAACCAAAGTCAGGAAGTGAAAGACACGCATGGAGCTAGCTTTAAAATATAAACTTCTTCTGGCCACTTATTCTTCAACTGTTTTTAGGTGCTACTGAGTCAATTCCTGACTCACAGCAACCCCGTATGACAGCCAACTAACTATGTTAGTAATTTCAAAGCTTTTCTTTTTCATGCAGCAGATTGCCAGGTTTCTCCTGAGGTGCTTCTAGTTAGTTTTAACCCTCCACATCTTTTGTTTAGTTAATAGTTTTGCATTTAAGCATAGAGCCAACAGGGTAAAACCATTAGTGGATCTGCTCAATAAAGATTACAGTAAAAAAAAAAAATCTTATGGGGTGTTGGGGAAGATATTAGTTTGAACCTTGGCTCAAAATGCTATTAAGTCAATTCTCATTCAGTGGTCCTATAGCACAGAGGGGTTCTGGTGGTCTAATGGTAAGAAGCTGCATTGCAATCCCTAATTGCCTGCGGTTTGAATTCACCAGCTTCTCTGCAGAAGGATGAACAAGCTCCTGCCATACAATTTATAGCCTCTGAAAACCATGGGAGCGTCAGCTGTGCGTCAGTTCTGAATTGATGGTACCCATCAACAACAACATAAGACAAAGAACTGCCCAACTGGGGTAAGTCTTAACAGAAGCAAGCTGTTTTATCTTTCTCTTGTGCAGTAATTAACTGATGAGTTCAAAGTGCTAACCTTTTGGAAAAGAGCTCATTATTTAACTCACTAGAGCTCCTTTTCTTTAATGTTTTGTGTTGAGTCAGAGTGCTAACTGCTAACTGAAAATATCAACCGTTTCCAAGAGAGAAGATTGGCAGTCTCCTTAAGTAAGTATCTGTAGTCACAGAAACTTGAAGGAGGAACACTGGAGTAGAAACCAACACAACAGTGTTTCTTGGGCTTAGTGTTCTAAGAAAACCAAAAGCAAGCTGTTAATTCTATTACAAAAAACAAAAAAAATACACATACACCAAAAACCCCAACATATGAAGGAGTGGCTTTTTTGCTTCCATCAACTAGTAATTCTTGACTATTTTGACACACAGCATTTTAAGGTGGTTTGCTTCCTCCCCCCCACAATAATGACAGAGAAATAATTCATTTTGCTACTAAAACAATGTAAACAAACTAGGAGTCTCTCTCCATATTTTCATGATTCCTTCTCCAGAACCTAGTCATTCTCTTTCCCAGGTAAATACTCTCTCTTTCAGGACAAAATTTATATTCTGGTCATAAAGTTAGACATGCTGATTACATCCAAAAACTTTCTTATATAAACTAAGATTTTACATCTATAATTATTTTCTACAGCATTATTTGTAAATAAAGGTGACAAAAAAAGAACCTAAGTTCAAAGCCTATCATGTACTAAAATTGTTAAAATTCAAAATCTCAGATACACTATGATAAATTCAGTATTTATTATTCTGATATTTACATATAATAAACTTAAATTAAAAATCTCAGGACACAGTAAGGCAATAAAGTACTTTGTAGTAAAGCTACAAAATGATAAGAAAGAGCAATTATGTTTAAATGTTTGACTACAGCTATCAGTTTATAATCTAATATTGCCCTTGCACTTAATGGGCAAATTCTATAGAATTCATTTCAACAGAGAATGTCTAAAATGAGCTTACTGTGTGAATTAGCATATTTAGACAGAAACTGGTGAGAAAAAAATTTAGCAATGATTTATTAAGTGTCCACCACAGCTTAGAATTCACATTATTTTTCCTTATGCACAGAAATACCGTAGCAAAGGAATTCTCCTGATGCTTTAGCTCCAAATAGTCAGACTGACAGGAGGTCAGAGACATAAATGGTCATTCCAAAGAACACAAAATCATCTTATCTAAATGCCAAGGATCACGTCTATCTCAGACTAATGAGCATGTTTTGAGGGAGGAAAAAAGGGGAGAGGGGTGCGGCTGAGTAAGTCAAATGAAAACAGTGCTTTAATCAAAACATACTTTCTTTTCACCTACAAGTTCCAAAATAAAAAAAAAATTTTTTTAAAAGATTTAATACTAATCAGGCATAAAAACTTCTAACTGCTTGATAGAGTATAATGTCAAAACTGTTACTTCTCCATGTTGATGTGGTATGTATTATCTGTGAACATACAAATACACCAAACAGTTCTAAGATTCAGAGATTAAAAAATACTTGTACTATGTAAGCTGATATTTACATATTTGCCAAAACTAAGATATTTAATAAATTATTTTCTAAGAAATTAACCATTTCCATAAGAAGAAATGTTCCCCTCAAGAACTTTTATTCAATCTTTGGCTTAAATCTTTATTTTCATTTTTTGAATCAATGGGGGACAGGGGCGAATCACTTTCTAAAAGTTATTCTGTAATCAAATTTTAACATATTTTCAAAAATAAAATGTATCAGTACCTGAAATAGATTTCTGTTGCTTTCTCTGTTGTTAAACACATAATCTATTTGACTCACATCTACTCCATTGTTTTCCACACTAAAGGAATACATCACTCTATCTTTCTCTCAAGGAACCAAAGCACATAATGACTGTGTCACCAGGGCTACCTAAATCTACACAATACCCTTCATTATGCTTATTGTTATTGTGTGCCATCAAGTCAGAACCGACTCACACAGGTTGAGACTGCCTGTCCCTGTCCTGTAGAACAGATGGCAGATTTGAGCCTCTGGGACTGCAGCACAATTTCTTACCATTAGGCCAGCAGA